ACGACAGACGGGATGCGGCGATTGCTTCCCTTATGCGACAGAACGAGGGTTTTGGCCGGCAGATTGAGGACCTTACCGAGGGCATGGCGGATATCAGGATGGTTCTCCAGCAGATGGCAAATCGCGATGGCATAAACCGCGACGGACCCGATGGCAGGACCGGCGGACGCGGTTGGTGGCCAGCCTTTCGGCCGGGGTGGCGCAACAGGGTCGTCGGGCTTGACGACTGGGGGTGGTTCGAGTGCGGCTGGAGGTTTGGGCCCGGCTTTAGCGGCTGAGGGCTCGCGGCTGGGAGTGGGCCAGCGGTGCTTCTCTTGCGGCGAGGCGGGCCACCTACGTTCGGCTTGTCCTCGTCGTGGGGGATCTCGGGCCTTGGTCACGGATTTTGGGTTCGACGGTAACGATGGGGCGGCTTACGAGGGCCCACCGGTTTTTGACGAGGAGCCTGAACCGTATGAGGAGCATTTGATGGGGGATGTGGGCCCGGCTTTGGTCATCCGACGTGCGTGTTTTTCACCCCGGGCTTCTTCTGAGGACTCGGTCCAACGACATAACATTTTTGAGTCGACGTGTACGGTGGGTGGTAAGGTGTGTCGTTTTATTATCGACACCGGCTCTTGTGAGAATGTGGTTGCTAAAGAGGCTGTTGATCGCCTTCAATTGTCTACTGAACCACACCCTCACCCCTACACCCTAGCGTGGATTCAACGTGGCAACTCTGTTACCGTGGATCGCCGGGTTTTGGTGCAATTTTCTATCGGGCCTAAATTCCGGGACACGGCGTGGTGTGATGTTGTTCCTATGGATGCGTGTCATCTCTTGCTGGGTCGGCCTTGGCAGTATGATCGTGCCGTGGTCTTTGATGGGCGTCTGAACACTTACAGTTTCTTATTTGAGGGCGTGCGACTGGTACTTCATCCTTCCCCTCCGCGCTCTTTAGCTACTGATAATTCCTCGTCGGTTCTTTTTCTTTCTCGTGCAGCTTTCGTAGGTGAGATGCAATCGGCGCCATTTGTCCTGTTGCTTTTGGGGGCCGACATTGCTCCGGATGAGGCCCCCCCGTCCATTATCCGGCCTCTCCTTGATGAGTTTTCTGATGTGTTCCCGGAGGAACTCCCTTCGGGCCTTCCGCCGCTTCGGGACATCCAGCATCAGATCGACTTGGTGCCGGGAGCTTCTCTGCCGAACCGTCCCCATTATCGGATGAGTCCGGCAGAACATGAGGAGTTACGTCGTCAGGTGGAGGAACTTTTACAGCGGGGAGTTGTTCGCCGTAGCTTGAGCCCGTGTGCTGTCCCCGCTTTACTCATCCCGAAGAAGGACAGCTCGTGGCGGATGTGTGTTGATAGTCGGGCCATTAACAAGATCACGGTCCGCTACCGCTTTCCTATTCCTCGGCTTGATGATTTATTGGACCAGTTGCATGGGGCCGCGGTATTCACTAAGCTGGACCTTCGGAGTGGCTATCATCAGATTCGGATCCGGCCAGGCGATGAATGGAAGACTGCTTTTAAGATCCGTGAGGGTCTTTTTGAGTGGCTTGTGATGCCTTTCGGTCTCTCGAATGCCCCCAGTACTTTCATGCATGTGATGAACCAGGCCTTGCGTGACCTTATTGGGAAATGTGTCGTCGTTTATTTCGATGATATTCTTATCTATAGCCGGACTGTGGAAGAACACTTGGCTCATGTCCGCTCTGTCCTTCAGATTTTGCGAGTTGAGTGTTTTTTCGCCGTGCCCCGGAAGTGTTCCTTTGTTGTTGCCTCGGTTCTTTTTTTGGGCTTCTTTATTTCGGCTGATGGCATTCGCGTCGATGAGAGCAAGGTTGCCGCTATTCGCGAGTGGCCCACGCCGACGTCGTTTACGGAGGCTCGTAGCTTCCACGGTTTGGCTTCTTTTTACCGTCGTTTCATTTCGCACTTCAGTTCCATTACTGCCCCGATTACGGACTGTCTTCACGGCAAGACCTTTGCGTGGACGCCCGAGGCAGCGACGGCTTTTGACATTATCAAGTGTAAGCTTACTTTTGCTCCCGTTCTCGCTCTTCCTGATTTTTCGGTACCTTTTGAGCTTTCGTGCGACGCGTCTAAGGTGGGTGTTGGCGCGGTTCTTAGTCAGCATGGGCGCCCCGTCGCCTTTTTCAGTGAGAAGTTGTCTGGCCCTCGCCTGCGTTACAGCACTTATGATGTTGAGTTTTATGCTGTGTATCGTGCTGTTCGTTATTGGCGCCACTATCTCTTTCACCGTGAGTTCATCCTTTTTACCGACCATGATGCTTTGCGCCACCTTTCTTCTCAGGACAATATTTCAGCCCGACACGCGACGTGGACCTCTTATTTGCAGCAATTTACATTCGTACTGCGGCATCGCTCGGGGGCTTCTAACCGTGTTGCGGACGCATTGAGTCGACGCTCGTTGTTGCTCACTGACATGCGCATTTCCGTTGTCGGCTTTGATTTGCTGTGGGATCTGTATGCTTCTGATGTTTTCTTCGGGCCCGTGGTGTCGCGTCTCTCTTCGGGTCCTTTTGAGGATTATACTCTTGCTGACGGGTTTTTATTTCG